GCGAGACTAGAGAGTAATGTAACCCTATCAGGCTATATTGGACGGTGTACGTGTAGCCACCCTAGCATAAACCCACCTACCGCTCGATCTCAGCCGCTCAATGACTGAAGTACCTCTTGGCTGATGACTGTGTTGCCAGGGGAATCGTTTGAGATGCGTAGGCCAATCACAGTTGCCAACGCATAAATCACTAAATTTTATTCAAACATACAACAATGCATTTCATCAAACTCTAAGTTGCAAATGGTTTACCACGGGGTTGGGGTAAGTTAATCGGTGATTCTTACGTCACACACACAACGACCGTCCAGAACTATTACTTGTGACAGATGTACTGTGCACTTTTAGGCTTTGCCACAATGGTTTAGGCTTTGTGACAGCGGACGACATTCTAACACGATTATCAATAGTAACAAACGTGAATCCGTTGCGGTATGGTGTTGCATTGGCATCCATTCATGCACAGACATTAAACAAGGTGCTTAGAAGGAGTTGTATGAAGCAGAGGCCCAACGCACAAGCGTAGATGCGTTATCGACAGCCATGGTTAGACTGTGCGACGATGCAGCGTTCACGCCTGCGGGTTGCGCGACATGGTGAATCCGTTGTGGTATGGTGTTGCATTGGCATCCATTCTTGCACAGACATTAAACAAGGTGCTTAGAAGGATTTGTATGAAGCACAGGCCCAACGCACAAGCGTAGATGCGTTATCGACAGCCATGGTTAGACTGTGCGACGATGCAGCGTTCAGGCCTGCGGGTTGCGCGACATGGTGAATTCGTTGTGGTATAGTGTTGCATTGGCATCCATTCTTGCACAGACATTAAACAAGGTGCTCAGAAGAATTTGTATGAAGCACAAGCCCAACGCACAAGCGTAGATGCGTTATCGACAGCCATGGTTAGACTGTGCGACGATGCAGCGTTCAGGCCTGCGGGTTGCGCGACATGGTGAATCCGTTGTAGTATGGTGTTGCATTGGCATCCATTCTTGCACAGACATTAAACAAGGTGCTTAGAAGGAGTTGTATGAAGCACAGGCCCAACGCACAAGCGTAGATGCGTTATCGACAGCCATGGTTAGACTGTGCGACGATGCAGCGTTCAGGCCTGCGGTTTTGCGCGACATGGTGAATCCGTTGTGGTATGGTGTTGCATTGTCATCCAACAGTGCATGGACATTGAAACCGTTGTGTTATTGTACGACATTGTCATCCATTCTTGCATATTCATTCAGCACGGTGCGTAGAGGTACACTACACCTCGAGAGAAGACACGCTATAGGTATTCGCTCCACGCAACAATCATACGTTAGGGCATGGAGTTATTGGGTACTTCCCGTATCGTTATCAAGTAAGGGTTGTTCAACATCAGTCCTAAGGATATGAATGTTTACTAGTTATGAATGACTTGAGTGTCTTGTTAAGTTGTAATTGTACATTTGCATTTCCATGTTTGTTTGAAGCCTCTTGAGCTCACCTACGTGATTCTGATTTCCCCCTATATCGATTCGCGACACAATCACAGATCCAAACGGATCTCTTCCCGCTCTTCCTCATCCCCCTCGACTCTCACGCACGGTTCCTAAACACAAGTTCTTGATTCAATAGTCACGTCCTTCTCACCGTGCTCGCGACGCACACATACGACCGTGAGACTTTAGATCCTCCGCATTCTCCTCTGCTCACGTCGTGGTCACTCTAAACGGGGGCGACACGCCTTGTAGGGAAGACGGCCCGTGAGGTGGGCGGTCTGTATCGTGCCTGGTAACGACCACGCGGCTCGACATCGTTAGCCTGTCCTAAACATTAGCGCCAATGTCAAGTGCCAGTCGTGCAGTGATACAAGCCGCCCACCACAGTGCGCGCATTGGCGATGATCGTGTAGCTGTCACAGGCTTCTTGAACGGAGTACTTAATGTCAGAACATTATAGCTTATGCTTTTGTGTAGGCTGTAGTGGGGTAGCCTATATGGGGTACAACCCAATTAGGGTTAGTACTTGTACCCAACTCTTTCATACTGCATTCATTCTCGTTCATTTTCAGATGGTATCAGAGCACATATGCTCCTAGCCTGTGGGCCCTACTACTGCTTCCGCTGCTACTCGATCTGTCGCACGCCCCGTGGCGTGCGACCTATTTTTCGCGCGCGGCGATTTTCTCTCTGGCGCGCGCCCCGAGGCGCGCGGCCCCGTTCCTTCTAGGCGCGCCACTCCCCGCTACCCCGTCGCGGCCCCATCTTGTCGCGCCGCCCTAGCGGCTGCGTCGCGCCGCCCTCGCGGCCCCGATCCGCCGCCCTAGCGGCCCCGTCACCTACCCCTGCGGCCCCGGCGCCGCCCATCCCGGCCCCGGCTCCGCCCTTCCTGGCCCCGGCGCCACCTCGGCTGGCCCCGTCGCCTACCCCGGCGACCCCGACGCCGCCCTTCCCGACCCGGCCCCGCCTCTGCTGGCCCCGTCGCCTACCCCTGCGGCCCCGGCGCTGCCCTTCCTGGCCCCGGCGCCACCTCTGCTGGCCCCGACGCCGCCCTTACCGGCCCCGGCGCCGCCTCTACTGGCCCCGTCGCCTACCTCTGCGGCCCTGGCGCCGCCCTTCCCGGCCCCAGCGCCGCCTCTGCTGGCCCCGTCACCTACCCTGCGGCCCCGGCGCCACCTCTGCTGGCCCCGTCGCCGCTCCACCCGGCCTCGCTGCCGTCCCCAAGTGGCCCCGCCGTCACCACCGAGCCGCCGGCGCCGCCGAGCTGCTACCGAGCCGCCCGGGCCGCAGCGCCACCTGAGCCGCCCGAGCCGCCGGGTCGCCGAGCCGTCGAGCGGCAGTTGCTGCCGAGCCGCCGTACCGCCGAGCCGCCCGTGCCGCCCGAGCCGCCGAGTCGCCGAGCCGCAGTTGCCACCGAGCCGCCCGAGTCGCCGGAGCCACCGAGCCGCAGCTGCTACTGAGCTGCCGTGCCGCCGAGCCGCCCGAGCCGCCCGCACCGCCGAGTTGCCGAGTCGCCGAGTCGCCGAGCCTGCTCTTCCCACCACTGGTGAGCCCCTGCCCTGCTAGCGCGCTGCCCGCCGCTTGCTTGCCTGCCTGCCTGCCTTTCCGCCTGCCTGGATGCCTGCCTTACTGCTGCTACTCCTGCTCCTGCTTCTACTAGCGGAGCCAGATGCAGCCCCAGCGACGTCCGCGTGAGTCCCTCACGCCCCAGCAGCTGTGTGAGTGGTACGCTGCTTGGGGTTGTAGGGGTGGCGGCGCTGCTACTGCTACCACTACTGCTGCTACTACTACTCGCGGCGGCCAGATGCAGCTCCAGCGACGCCCACGTGCGTCTCTCACGCCCCAGCAGCTTCGTGAGTGGTACGCTCAGAGTAGAGGGTCTCTCAGTTCTGTTCGCTGCTCTTACGTGATTCGCATTGGTGCTCGGACTGGTCAGCCTTGTGGGACACCTAGTCACACACAGTCCCGCTGCTTCGCCCGTCTGAGCAACGCCTGGCGTACCGAGTTTGGCGACGAGGCTGAGCTCCCCGACTGGGTGGAGTTGCTTAGGCAGAGGGTAGATATATTTGCTCTTGACTATGATGCTATTCTCACTGCCATGTATGCATTGCCTACTAGTGCTGACCGTGCCGGTCACCTGTGCGTACCGCCTGACCCGGGTATAGAGCCTACTGCTCTAGCTGCTGGTGAGGCTGCTGCTCTGGGTGCTAGTGAGTCTCCTGCTCCAGGTACAGGTGCGGCTGCTGCTCCAGGTGCTAGTGAGTCTGCCTCCTCAGGTGCGGGTGAGTCTGCTCTCTCAGGTACCGCGTCGGCTCCGGCCTCTCACACCTCCACTCTTGACTCGGGGGCTTCCCGCTCCTTCTTTCGAGACCGCACCACACTCACGCCGCTTGGTCGGCCAGTTGCAGTCTCTCTGGCAGACCCCTCTGGGGGTCCTGTCCTTGCTCACTTCTCTACTGTCCTCCCGTGTCTGGCGGCCCCCTCTGGCACCCTGTCTGGTCTTTACCTCCCCTCGTTCTCTACAAACTTGGTGAGTGGTGCTGACCTACAGGATGCGGGGGTTCACCAGTTCACTCCTGCGAGTCAGCGGGTGACCCACTGCACGGACGCTCGGACAGGCCGACACCTGGCCACGTTTACACGTCGGCCGGGGTCGAGCCTGTACACGCTGACCACTGCGTCTCCTCCAGTCACTGCGTCTGGTCACGTAGCTGCGTCGGGTCAGGTGTTTGCTGCAGCGTCCAGGTCTGGTCCTGAGTCTGCCCTCTGCTCGTGTTGTCTCCTGTCTCACGAGAATCTCCTCTGGCACCACCGCCTTGGTCACCCCTCCTTGCTTCGTCT